ACACTTAATTTTAAGTAGGCTAACATAAAATTGATAACTTTAAAAACATAGGCCTATTTCGAATATTTGTCATTTTATGTATGTTTTTTTTATTGTAGTCTAAATTAGGGGCTATCTATAGGCCACTAGTATAACTTAATTTGATTACGATATTACTCGGTATTTGTACTCTCGTCTGAATACATTATTAAATATAATATGTTTGAATGCCTTAATGTTATTTAAAAATTATTTTAAAGTTTATTTGAAGTTTATTTTTAAGCAAATTTATGCTATTTAAATAACAAAAATCGTTTGCCTCCTTGTTTTAAAAACATCTTTTGTTTCAGTAATCATTTATATAAGTCATTCATTTATATATATATATATCATTTATACTACACATATCTGTATTATGGGGCTAGGATATTGAAGTAATTATATTTAGGAACTATGGAGGAGGATGTAATACCAAAATCAAATTATGATCATCGTCATAGTCTGACCGCGACCTAAAATCCCAGACATTAACAACTCCCATCTGGCGCTGACAGAAACGCCCGCCTTCTTTACAAGGGCATGTTCAACGCCAATTCATCCTGAAAATAAATCTTTGAATATAATATACTAACAAGTCAACAAAATGTGTATTTAACTTCTGAATATTTACAACCAACGACTAAAAATACGGTTAAATATCTTATGTGCAATTTGTTTTTAGATTATTTACTTTTATATTACTTCCTAAAATTTCAGCCAAATCCTTCCCCTAGTTATTCAAATAATTTTTTTATTGATAAGACCATAAACAAGCAAACATTTCTTAATAAAGTGTGAGATAGGATATAAAATAGGATACCTGGGGATTAAGCTCTTTTCGGGGGTGATCATTAGGCTTAGTGTATTCTAAAATTAGTTTTCCCTCAAAATATAAGTCTAAATTGATCTAAACCAACTGTTTTGTGACAAATCCCAATGGCATTTATTTATAAAGAACTAGCTGGCCCGACAGACATCGTCCTGTCCTAATGTGGTTTTATGTCAAATGCTCGTTCATTTTCAAGATAAGCTCGTTCGTATGGCCCAATCACGTCCCGGTTGAAGTTCGTTCGCTACGCTCACTCACCTTTAGGTTGGAGCTCGTTCGCTGCGCTCACTTGCCTTCAGGTTAGCTCGTTCGCTACGCTAACTCGCCTTCAGGTTGAAGTTTGTTTGATACGCTCACTTACCTTTTGGTTTCAAATTAACCGTTGTCATAAATTTTAAAAAAGTAATAGTGCTGCACCCTGTTGGTAAACCTATTAACTTTTTAATGCTATTGAACATCACAGAATCAATTTTTTTTAGTTAAACCAGCTGTTGAAATTAATTCTTTAATTCCATTTAAATATGAGTACTCATAAGGTTGACATGGCAAACTCCAGAGCCACTGGGGTCCTTTTGTCGTATCTGCACCAAACATCACAAAAACCATCCTTAAAAAATGCTTAATAATGCCTGAAAGTTTCATTACAATCTGTCAAGCGGTTTCGGAGTCCATAAAGGACAAACAAACATACATTGGATTTTATATATACGAGGTGTTAGCCCGTCCTACGTACGGGAATCGAATAGTCAATTAAAACTGTGTATAATTCAGAACAGCTAGTTTACACGTATAAAGACAAATTTTATTGCAGCCTACAGTAGAAAGAGTAATTATCAATTTAGAAGTGTATAGGCCTAGTCCACGATATCACCTTACATCGCATACCTGCCCCTTCCATAATCAATATCACCACAATAAATTCATCATTAATAAAACATACTACATAATACACAATTTCCAGTAGGTCTGAATAGAAACTCAGTAAAATCAAACGAAAATATCCAATAAAATTCACAGTAACGTTGGTGTCCTGACATCATTAAACGAATCGTCACACATATCCTTTAGCCTATATCAATTTCACTACATCAATTGCTAAATAAATAATAAATAAAATAATATTCATTTGAAAAAAGAACTGGTCACATGTTGAAGGAATGTAAAAAGTAAACACGCTAGTAAAGCTAGTGACGTAATTGTCTATGTTGGTTATCTATAGCCTACCATTATCAGTTCTAATATCCTTGATAATTAAACCACCCTCATTCAACCAATGAACATCGTAATTCCCCATATTCATTTATTTAAACTATTCAGTTTAAATAAAAGGGATATTTTGCCTACATCAGCGCCTCCAAACGTAACCGAAACTAAACACACGCCAAACAACTTTTTTAGACTTCATAAATGGATGGTTAGTATAAATAATTGTAGTATCCTATGTCAATGATGACGGTGTGTTCAATCTATGTCATTCATCTGTATATCTTTGGATAATACCCGTCTGAGGTTGTGGTGCTAATGGTATTCCTGAGGATTCTTGGTCTCCCTTTTTATGACATCAATATTTCCGGGCCTAATTCAAACAAAGTTTAAGCATTCAAACATTGATTGTAAACAAAAAGCTACTAAGATGAATTAAAACATGTAAACATTTTTATTTTCCTACCCTTTCCTAAAAAAGTTGAGTAGCAAAATAATTTGCATATCCTTTTTTTAAGACTCTTGTACGGAGCCTCGACTTGTATTACATCGATGGTGTTACTTATCTCGGTTGTCTACTAATCTTACTTATTTCTTATAATCAATGACAAAATAAGAGTAAATAAAATAACCTCATAGTTCCATAGTTGATATTTAACCAGCTGTTAGTTTAAACAAATTATATTGCTCTAAAACAAATCGAAGATTACAAAGATTGCTAAAAAAAATAATTTGAACATCCTAGTATTTTACTATGTATATTTAATTAATCTGTCATCCTCTTACAGAAGAATTGAACGTATTAATGATTAGCATTACACATAGTATAAATAAGTCAACCCTAAGTATGTCTTTACAATTTCATCCAAATGCTGATTATTTTATGCCAAAAGCTAGTTTAGAATCTTAGCGTCGGCTGCTAGACTTTAAAAAAAAATAAAACTTAATTTCTAAAAATCTGGGGCCCTAAAATTCCCTAGTTCTAAAAATTATATTTCTTTCAACACAAAAATCATGAAAATCCGTCTAGTGGTTGATTCAGAATCGTGAAATAAAAAAAACACTGTTTCGTTTTAATATTATAGATAGGTAGAAGATGCGAAAATACAATATTTATGTAACTTAGGGGTGTGATCTATTTCCTTGGTACCTAACTAAGTCTTTCTATAACTAAAATTGAAACTTCAGCCATCTTCAGCCTTACTAATTCAACTAAACACAGCCGACCGATGTAAACCTTAGAAAAGAGTGTGACAGAAATTGTAGAAGCTTTACTTAAATAATGGAGAAACATTGAGTCGTTATTCCACTGTTAAATGAAAATTTAACAACAATTTCCTTAGTACTTGGGGGGGAATATTTTGGTGGGAAAGTAAAATAATCCAAGTAAAATAGTCAGCATTCGATAGGAACAGTTTTTGTTCAAATGTTGAGTACTGTAATCTTCTGTGTAATCTCTGATCAATAGTTACAACTGAATGTTTTCCCTATTTATTTTTTCTTGTTATTTTGAAAAACCAAAATGGCTACTTGGCACACAGTAAATAAAATCACAAATACTAGAAAAGACCCAGTATGGATCATAAACATAAACAAATTATGTCACTGGCCCAAAAATTAACATTATTTAACCGTCTAAACCATATATTAATGTTATTGGTATATTAATGGTATGTTATTCGGGCCAGTTACGTCATTTTTTATGTTTATGATCCATACCGGTTTATTTTCTAATATTTATGGTACATATATGGCAATTCATCTATAATATTAAAACGGTTTGTGTAGCGGAATAAGAGTTTACCTGAGGTAGGGCCTCAGGGATCAACTTGTAGATCTGAAAGTACCTAGTTCCGTATTTTTGTCTTAATCCTTCCGCTAGATTTCGATAAAACAAATCCAAAGACATATCTCGTATTATTGGCTATAGGATTTACATTGTAGATATTGGACAACAGTTAATAAAATGTGATGTAAGATTATGTCAAAATTATCAAATTATGCTAAGAGATGCAAAACCACGAGCAACTACATTAGATGTCCCAGTTATCCCTCGTTATTGGCTATAGTTTTGTTTACATTATACACGATTAAAACTTAATGCGAACTGTTGAAAAACTGTCTAGCTCCAATCTCATAGCACGAGTACTACCCTTCACCACCCATGTTGGTGAACAAACATAATCTTTGATTTATGAAGATAGATTGACATTATTGATTATAAACCTATTGCAATAGAACTTCTCTAACACAGGAGTTCTATACTTGACTCCCACTCAAGCCACGTTGGTTGAATTGTATCATGATATATTGTAAGTCAATGTTTGGTCAACGGTAAGTCGTCCCTGGACTAACACACTATGAAGCCCTAAACCAACCCTAGTTCCAAGAGAAGGTTTCGAATTGTTATTAAGTTTGATTGTTCCCATAGATCGGTGACCAGATCCTGGAGATAAACGGTGAGTCGTTCCTGGATGTGGCATACAATGGAGCTGTCAACCAACTCTAGTACCACAAGAGGATTATTCTAATTGTTATTAAGTTTGATTGTTCCCCATAGATCAGTGACCAGATCCTGGAGGTGAACGGTGAGTCGTTCCTGGACGTGGCATACAATAAGGCTGTCAACCAACTCTAGTAACACAAGAGGATGGTTCGAATTGTTATTAAGTTCGATTGTTCCTATAGATCGGTGACCAGATCCTGGAGATAAACGGTGAGTCGTTCCTGGACGTGGCATACAATGAGGCTGTCAACCAACTCTAGTTCCACAAGAGGGTGGTACTAATTGTAGTAATGTTTGATGGTTCCCCATAGATCGGTGACCAGATCCTGGAGGTGAACGGTCAGTCGTTCCTGGACGTGGCATACGAAGAGGCCGTCAACCAACTCTAGTGCCTCAAGAGGATGGTCCTAGCTAATTGTAGTAATGTTTGATGGTTCCCCATAGATCGGTGACCAGATCCTGGAGGTGAACGGTCAGTCATTCCTGGACGTAACACACGATGAGGCTGTCAACCAACTCAAGTTCCATAAGAGAATGACGTTAACGGTCAGAGATGTAGGGAAGGTACCGCACTCCTGCACTGCCTACGACAACGACCCCTGGGACTCCCCTCAGGCGTGAGTACCCACTCCTTACGTAAGAAGATAAAGCTCCTTCTTTATTTACACTAACTCTGCTAACTAATAATCATGGGTGCGAACGCATCACAGACATAAATACTATGTGTGACTAACTAAAAATACTTTTATAAATAGGGCTGATAGTATGATTGGGACAGAAACAACCCTTTACCATTGATTCCTCTATTGTTTTTAATTCCTTATACTACTGTACTATGACTATGCTGCGTAGTTCCGTGGATACACGATACACAACTGAAGATTATGTATGACCTTGTGCAACACCTGAATTAAGTAATTGGATATAATACGATTTCAACAGCACATGATTTAATATAAGCCTTAAGTCATGTCAAGTACTTCTTCAGAGTATTACTCTAGCCTGGCAGAATCATATGCGTAGGAGTAGAAGTGAATGATTTCAAGTATGATGCATATTCTGCTCATTCTACATGTTCTCACCCCAACCTGTACTCGTGTTTCAGAAGGAGGATCCACGCGTCGCGGTCAGCCGCGCTGCAGATGGTGGACGAGAAGGCTCGTGTGGTGCTGAAGAAGAACGAGTTCAGCACCCTCACGTACTACCTGGACGAGTACTCGGCTAGACAGATGACCATTGAGGCCTTCGTAGCCGTCCTGCTGGAGCTGCTAAACACGCCGGAGAAGGTAAATACCACTCTAGCCCTGTTATTTACGTCACATTTTGGACGAATACACAATACTTAACTTCATATTTTAACAATCCTAAATAAAGCCAACAACATCTTCGCCATGATTCAGGGACCACTTTGTTGCTCAATGTCACCAATTCTATCTTGTTCGACCCTGCACTACCCAACAGAACCATAAAGATACCATAGAACCTGTGTCCATGTTAAGCTGTTGTCTGATGATATTGCCAATCACTAATAATTTAGGAGTTTGACTGGATACGCGGTCTGATTGGGTATAGCCTGATCTGGAGTTTTTAAGTCCTTTTTTGTGGAATGGTACCTTTAAGGTTCTGCGTGACGCTGGTACCTCAACAAGGTACCTAGAACATGGAGAATCCATGGAAGTATGAGCGTTTGATACTTCGGAGTTGAAATAAAATCCATTCGATATGCTTCATCTTATTCTTTATTGGTAAATACAGATATATGGGACAAATGTGGTATTTTGTATAGGATGTCCCGTAAGTAAGTACAACAAATTTAGGAATGGACTCAATGGGTCAAAATAAAACAAAAATCAAGAATGATATTTTTTTCTCCTAAATACCTCGTTTGTGAGATCATTGTCTCTTTGTTTTTTGTGTTTTAAAATTTTTCTCTCATAGATTATTTAAGATTTGTTTATGAAATTTTGAATATACAGGTAATTATATCAAGTCATAATCTATTTTGGAAAAAATGTCATTAAAATACGTTTTGGTTCAAAAATGATGGCCATTTTAATTGTTATAACGTAAATAACAAATACACTCCTGATTTTAATAAAAAAATGCCAGGAACACTTTTCTTTAGCATTACAAATAAGGTCATTCCTCTATCAAAATGACAACAAGGTCGAATGATAAATAGCTGAGAAATCGCAATGTTTAGGCGCAAAAAAGGTGAACCCAGACTGCTTGGCATTTTCCGCGGTTATAACAATTTTTAAGTTATAAAAATCACATAACCACCATCTTAAACGAATAATTTTTAATGGAATTTTTTTATAGATTTATAAAAATATCTTAATAGTTTTTGGGACATACATTGAAAATACAAAATTAAAAATATCTTGCTAATAAGAAATTTTTGGAAAAATTATTCTAGATTTTGGTTTTATTTTGACACATTAAACCTATTCCAAAAACCATTGTACTTACGGGGGACATCCAGTATACAATTTTTCAATTTCCTAATAAACCCTTTTTTTAAGACTCAAAAACACATAATTTGATCGTTGTTGTACAATAAATTAATAGTTGCGGTTTCCGTGTAATTCTTTTGGAGATTAACTGTTGTACAGTATGTAGTTTGCTTGCTTGTATTCATTTTGATCAAAGTCCACAGATTTATTTATTTCACCTAAATTTTACTTAATAACCGCTTTATTTATTTCCTTCTGTGTAACTGCAAACCTAAGTACTGTACTACAATGGTTATTAAGAGTCTATAAAGGGAATAAATCTGGCATTTTTCATAACTTATTCAAGTAAACATTCCATTCAGGGAAAAGGAAATTTACTTTTCCTACAGTTACCTAACAATGTACATGTTCTCTCACTGATTTGAGAAAGCAAAGTGGCCAATTCACTCATCAGTGAGACAATGTTAACATTGTCTCACTCTAATTACTTTGTCTCACTCCAGATTTGCAACGTGAATGCACGAAATAGTGAACGCGTAACATGCAGGCAACGTCGTATGCGCGCGAAATACGTTGGCAGCACTGGCTGTAAATCAGCTGGTCAGCTGTTGTACTGTTGTATTTGTCACTTCACATTAAATGTTATATTTAAAGTTCACTTCTGTGTAAAAATAGGTTATGTTTCTTCACCAATTTATTTGTTTTATGGTAACTGTAGGAAAAGTATAATGTGCAACTCGAGTTCAAAGTACAATTGCCTCACTCGAGAAACCATTTCTCACTCGCCTACGGCTCGTGAGTAAGGATTTCTCTCGAGTGAGTCAATTGCTCACTTTTCTCACTAGTTGCACAAATGACTATTTCTGCAGGTTTTGCTGTGGCGGGGATATTTTTGTACGACAATTTCATTAGAGTTGTCTCTCTTTAAATTATTTGCCTATAATTCAAAATTAATAATATCAAAGTATCGTATTTATTGTTTTTTTTCTTCTGAAACCTATGTGAAGCATTTGACTAACATCTGGACCATCATACTAGGGTAGACTGCTTATTTCATTAAATTACGTGTACCGTTTATGCCCAAAAAAACAAAGTTCTTTTTGGAAAAGCAGTTTGTAGCGTGAATTCAAAATGTTAAGCATATTAAATAACGTAATTCGTAATCAAGGTGGATAACTTTAAATCTAATTAACTTGTAGCCGACGTTCAGAGATTTCCTCGTCGCTCCTCAATTACGTAAAGTTTCATTTCTTTACCGTTTTATTTTATTAAATAAAATAATATTTTACATCCGTTAGAATTAATCATCATTCAATGGTGGTTCAGTGGTCCAATTTAATTCATGCAGGTTTAAAATATTTGATACGGTGGGTTGGGGCTGTATTCATTGTTGTATAGTTTGCTTTTGTTTGTGTAGTTGTATTGGAATCTATGCTTATTTAATACGCAAGCAGGTTTTTTTGTGACAATTACTCCTCCGAAACTAATGAATCGATTGACATGTGTTTGGTGTTATTGGAAAGAGCGTAACGTGAATTTGTGCAGGAAACTTGGGGCCCTTTAAAGTTTCGTATTTCCCCATAAGATTAACATGGTAAACAAACATGTTATGAAACTCCAGCTGTTGTCAGAAATTAAATATGAGAAGAACAACATATGTTAATTGTAAACTGTTAATAAGTTTGCTAATTTGATAGTTTGCTACAAAAATTTACTTACTTGGTTGAATGAAATATTTACTATTTGAATTTGGGTTGGCGTAAATATTATAATGGAAAAAAGTGAAAGTGCCTGAATAAATTGATATACTAAAAAGAAAACTGAATTAACACTGTGCTGCATTTCTTAGTAATTAATTATTGAAAGAACCGATTTGCAAACTATGGAAACGTACGCCTGCAAAGCCTGAAACGCCTGAAATACTTAGCAATTGCTCGAATTCGAGCAACCGGGACACTAGTGAATAGATAATGCATTCATTGTAGTACATTGTATTGTCATTTTTCTGCATTGTGCACGATACACCGTCATTTGTGTGTAGTATTGTGAAGTGTTCGGCAGTGTATTCTATCTGTATTGTAAAGTGTACATTGTATTGTATAGTGAATTCCAGGACAAAGTATTTAAGCTGTATTGTGAAGTGTAGGAGAATGTATTCTAGCTGCATTGTGAAGTGTAGGAGAATTTATTTTAGCTGTATTGTGAAGTGAAGGAGAATGTATTCTAGCTGTATTGTGAAGTGTAGGAGAATGTATTCTAGTTGTATTGTGAAGTGTAGGACAATGTATTCTAGCTTTATTGTGAAGTGTAGGGCAATGTATTTTAGCTGTATTGTGAAGTGTAGGGCAATGTATTTTAGCTGTATTGTGAAGTGTAGGACAAGGTATTTTAGCTGTATTGTGGAGTGTAGGCGAATGTATTCTAGCTGTATTGTGAAGTGTAGGAGAATGTATGTTAGCTGTATTGTGAAGTGTAGGACAATGTATTCTAGCTGTATTGTGAAGTGTAGGCCAATGTATTTTAGCTGTATTGTGAAGTGTAGGACAAGGTATTTTAGCTGTATTGTGGAGTGTAGGCGAATGTATTCTAGCTGTATTGTGAAGTGTAGGAGAATGTATGCTAGCTGTATTGTGAAGTGTATGACAATGTATTCTAGCTGTATTGTGAAGTGTAGGACAATGTATTCTAGCTGTATTGTGCACTCTTAACAGTGTCGATTGTACAATCTCCGATCGGAGCTGAGAGGTGATTTTCCACCCGACTCGCTTCTACATGCAAATCCAATTTATTCAACGTCTTGACGGGTTAAAATGTTAACATAACTACTTACAATGTAGGTTGCCTGTCAAATCCTTTCTCGTAAAATAGTTTAGCTTTGGTTTAGTTTGCTTTCAACTAAACTCACATTATTTTAACATCAAGAGGTTAAACTTACCTTAACATAACAAGCCCAAAACCCAATAATTTTGGATTAAGTTTTTTTTTTTATTTATGGATAGTTACTAGGACATATACAGCTACAAGAAAATGTATGACGACATTCTGTCACCTTTGGACAATTCGAGTTTTCGTCGCCATCTTGAATTTTTCAAAAAGGGTATATCATTTTATATGTTTTTATGTACGCACGAGCATTTTTTTTTAAGATTAATGAATTACTTGGTAGTATATTTTGGCAAGGGTTGAAGTAAAACAGAGATAACAACTGTTGGGACGGAAATGGAAAGCCTGCCGGTGACATTTTGCTTGGTATCTTGGAATTGGAAATAAAGTACATGTAGTGAAGAAAAATACCGTAAGAGTATGACTCATTACGTAGATTTATAATGATGGCTCATTTTTCAGTACACGCTGCTGACGGAACTACGGGAAGTAGTGATGCCTGAGGACAGAGGGAGGTTTGACGAGCTGGTCTACAGGAGAGAGTCTGAGGGTCAGCGGCTGCAGCACATCATGGAAACTAGACACTCGGCTCAGCACACGAGGGTAAGACCCTGCACTACCTAGAGTAGTGGTAGTTCTGTAGTTACTTGGACAGAGGCAGGTTTGACGAGCTGGTCTACAGGAGAGAGTCTGAGGGTCAGCGGCTGCAGCACATCATGGACACTAGACACTCGGCTCAGCATACGAGGGTAAGACCCTGCACTACCTAGAGTAGTGATAGTTCTGTAGTTACTTGGACAGAGGCAGGTTTGACGAGCTGGTCTACAGGAGAGAGTCTGAGGGTCAGCGGCTGCAGCACATCATGGAAACTAGACACTCGGCTCAGCATACGAGGGTAAGACCCTGCACTACCTAGAGTAGTGATAGTTCTGTAGTTACTTGGACAGAGGCAGGTTTGACGAGCTGGTCTACAGGAGAGAGTCTGAGGGTCAGCGGCTGCAGCACATCATGGAAACTAGACACTCGGCTCAGCACACGAGGGTAAGACCCTGCACTACCTAGAGTAGTGATAGTTCTGTAGTTACTTGGACAGAGGCAGGTTTGACGAGCTGGTCTACAGGAGAGAGTCTGAGGGTCAGCGGCTGCAGCACATCATGGACACTAGACACTCGGCTCAGCATACGAGGGTAAGACCCTGCACTACCTAGAGTAGTGATAGTTCTGTAGTTACTTGGACAGAGACAGGTTTGACGAGCTGGTCTACAGGAGAGAGTCTGAGGGTCAGCGGCTGCAGCACATCATGGACACTAGACACTCGGCTCAGCATACGAGGGTAAGACCCTGCACTACCTAGAGTAGTGATAGTTCTGTAGTTACTTGGACAGAGGCAGGTTTGACGAGCTGGTCTACAGGAGAGAGTCTGAGGGTCAGCGGCTGCAGCACATCATGGACACTAGACACTCGGCTCAGCACACGAGGGTAAGACCCTGCACTACCTAGAGTAGTGGTAGTTCTGTAGTTACTTGGACAGAGGCAGGTTTGACGAGCTGGTCTACAGGAGAGAGTCTGAGGGTCAGCGGCTGCAGCACATCATGGACACTAGACACTCGGCTCAGCACACGAGGGTAAGACCCTGCACTACCTAGAGTAGTGATAGTTCTGTAGTTACTTGGACAGAGGCAGGTTTGACGAGCTGATCAACAGGAGAGAGTCTGAGGGTCAGCGGCTGCAGCACATCATGGACTCTAGACACTCGGCTCAGCACACGAGGGTAAGACCCTGCACTACCTAGAGTAGTGATAGTTCTGTAGTTACTTGGACAGAGGCAGGTTTGACGAGCTGATCAACAGGAGAGAGTCTGAGGGTCAGCGGCTGCAGCACATCATGGACACTAGACACTCGGCTCAGCACACGAGGGTAAGACCCTGCACTACCTAGAGTAGTGATAGTTCTGTAGTTACTTGGACAGAGGCAGGTTTGACGAGCTGGTCTACAGGAGAGAGTCTGAGGGTCAGCGGCTGCAGCACATCATGGACACTAGACACTCGGCTCAGCACACGAGGGTAAGACCCTGCACTACCTAGAGTAGTGATAGTTCTGTAGTTACTTGGACAGAGGCAGGTTTGACGAGCTGGTCTACAGGAGAGAGTCTGAGGGTCAGCGGCTGCAGCACATCATGGTCACTAGACACTCGGCTCAGCACACTCGGGTAAGACCCTGCACTACCTAGAGTAGTGGTAGTTCTGTAGCTACTTGGACAGAGACAGGTTTGACGAGCTGGTCTACAGGAGAGAGTCTGAGGGTCAGCGGCTGCAGCACATCATGGACACTAGACACTCGGCTCAGCACACTCGGGTAAGACCCTGCACTACCTAGAGTAGTGGTAGTTCTGTAGCTACTTGGACAGAGGCAGGTTTGACGAGCTGGTCTACAGGAGAGAGTCTGAGGGTCAGCGGCTGCAGCACATCATGGACACTAGACACTCGGCTCAGCACACGAGGGTAAGACCCTGCACTACCTAGAGTAGTGGTAGTTCTGTAGTTACTTGGACAGAGACAGGTTTGACGAGCTGGTATACAGGAGAGAGTCTGAGGGTCAGCGGCTGCAGCACATCATGGACACTAGACACTCGGCTCAGCACACGAGGGTAAGACCCTGCACTACCTAGAGTAGTGGTAGTTCTGTAGCTACTTGGACAGAGACAGGTTTGACGAGCTGGTCTACAGGAGAGAGTCTGAGGGTCAGCGGCTGCAGCACATCATGGACACTAGACACTCGGCTCAGCAGACGAGGGTAAGACCCTGCACTACCTAGAGTAGTGGTAGTTCTGTAGCTACTTGGACAGAGACAGGTTTGACGAGCTGGTCTACAGGAGAGAGTCTGAGGGTCAGCGGCTGCAGCACATCATGGACACTAGACACTCGGCTCAGCACACGAGGGTAAGAACTAATAGGCCAATATTCAATAGGCAAATGACACCTATCGGGCATTTGCCTATTGGGTCCGATGATGATTCGAGTGTCCAATAGAAATCAATAACCATTGCTATCTTTTAAATGTCCTTGAACGTTTTATGAGTTAACAGTAAAAGTATAAATATAACATTTTTTCAAGATCATTAATAGACTTATTTTCATTTACTTTCTGTACATATTCGATAACAATAGTTCTGTAGATGAAAAAGACAATTGGCCTACGAATAGGGCCAGGCACCAGAGACATTTTTTTATCATGTTACATGCAAACAAGTAACTTAGTTAGTACAACATGCATCCAAACACTGTATTTCTCTTAACCCTCTTATGACTCAATCAAAGAATCATACTTCCTAATATAATTTTTACAGGTCATATTATTTAAAAGTAATGTTTTATGTAAAGTTATAGTAATGGTTACGTTAAATATAAACTTAAGTATTTTAACTTGTATTACAATTACCCAAAACGTAATACTATTTTAATGTTCCAGCGGAAAGCAGGGCCTGGGGGATGCTGCGACAACAACCACTTATTACCCAGCATGCACCACGAGTCGGTGAGTCTTTCTCTCTCTCTTGCTCTTATGCACAAGGCTGATTGCATGATATCTCTCTCTCTCTCTCGCACTCACTGGCTGGCATCTTCACTGCGTAACGCACGCAAACTGGCCTCCTAAAATGGTACTGCTAACTTGGAGGTTTTCAAAAGTATTATTGTTCAAAAAATATAATTTTTAAATTGTTTTTGTAACTTATATAGGGGTTTTTATTAGTTTGACACCTCTTTTGGGAGTCTGAAATTTTGTATTATCTATTCAATACGAAGTAAGCCTCTTTAAAAGAGACAGGTTACAGGGTATAGTAGTTACTTTATTGATTTAGGAAATGAAAATGCCATATTCTGCTTGTCTGTACTTATTTCTGATAGTTTAAACTTTTCATCAATAGTAAAAAAAAAAAATAGTATTTTAAAATATATTAATATTATTTTATATACTATGGTTAGAGTAACTTTGCCAATTATATGAAATCCATTGTTCATAGTTCTTGAGTACAGCCTAAAATATCTTGATAACATTTCATTCACTTAATTTATATTGGAAAATGATTATTGTATTGGCTCCTTGAACAAATTTAAAAACAAAATTCTCCTACTAAGCTATTGCTAGATTTCATTAGAAGTTCCAAGTTGGCAGTATTGGTTATATAGTTTGAATGTTTGATGTTTATTTAATTAATTAAAAGTAAAACCTGAGACAACTAAGAAATAGAGCCCAACATGATAAATAAGATATGTGATCCACGTTGTTCAAAATGTCATAATTGTAAAATAGTTTTAGATTTTGGAGTGTAAATATAAAAAATATATGTTTAAAGATGAAAGTTGTAGAATCCTCAGGTAGATTATACAGTATGTATTATACCTAGTAAATTTTATTTATAGAATTTTAAATTAATTGCTAAGTAGATATTAAACAAAATCTTTGTAAACTAGCCTATGTTTTATAAATATTGTATTGTGAATAGAATTGTAAAACAGTTAGGCAATAATAATAAAGTAGCATAGTACATCCATTTGGAAATAGCAGCCATAGTCTGAATGTTGTATAGATTAAAAAGCCATGTACGAAACAATCTTATTAGGCTTCAATATATACAAATGTAAAAAGCCAAAATTGTATAAACAAATTCCAAAACGAATCTTTAAAATGTGTATATAAGATAGCTTTGGACTGTATATAACAATTTGTGTAAAAACCCCTTATAATCTTTAAAATGTACCTGACCTATATAATTACATTCTCGATTCATACGAATTATCATCCAATGTTTAAGAACTATAAACTTAATTCAATTATATTAGTGGCTCACTGAATTAAAACACAACTAATATAAAATACTAGGCTTACCATTAAACGATAAAGTAATTATTAATGCTGTAAACTAAACTGGGATGATTTTCAAAGTCCATTTTTGAACCATGTTGAAACACCTATAGGATTTAATTAGGCAATTGTATTGTTCGAAGAGATGCTATGAATAGCCATAGTAGAGACGTACCTAAGTGCCAAAAAAAAGAGAATGCCGGCGCCGATCGTAGGGGTTGGACTTGGCTCAAAGCCAAGAAAGTAGATGTGAAAGGGTAAAGTGTCTTGCCCAAATTGAAAATAGTTTTGTAACTGTCACCGCTAGATTTTTGTATATGCAGTTGCTTCACATCATTAAAATTGTTAAAATTGTTAATAACATGACCTGATAAAAAGTAAAAAAAGTTTGAATTATTGTAAATTTATTGTTTAAACTATTCATCACTTGAGAGTTAAAGTAATCCTTATTACCCATTATGTTGGTTCATGTATCAATCACTTCTTTTCATTTTTCTGATTGCGTCAACCCAAATCCTCATTAAACCTGATTTTAAAATGTGACAGATCCATGCCCATTGTTTCTATCGTTGTACAATCTTAAAATAACCTAGTCTTGCATATGCGGCAAATATGCATTTTTATTAGCTCTTAAATGTTTTCACGACCTCGTAATTATTTACACATCCATTTCTCATACTTAAATCATTTTAAAAGGATAAATACACCCGCCGCAGCAAACCTGCAGACTAAGCGAATTTCAACTTGTCTGATTACATTATTACTAAAATATTTCCATGAATAAGACATTTAGGATATTCCCAATTTAAATAACATTAGATTTAACGAGTGCTTAGGTTTGCTGCTACGGGGAAGGTAAAAAGTGTTTTTGACCATACGTCAGTAGTATAGGATGAAATAAATAAATTTGCCAAATTTTATCAACATATATCCATAAACAACTACAAAAGTTTTCATTTTCTCCATAAGAATAATATGGGAATTTAAAATTACACTATTTTTGAATTTTCTCCGTGACCGTTAGGCATACAACAGCGCTTCAATATACTAAATTATTTCTTTTTTTAGGCTCTACAAAACGGTTTAAAAAGAAATTGCAATTTTTTTTGTTTTCAGGGTAAAAAATGGGAAAAACACATTTTTACCCCATAAAACCCCCCATAAACCCCCGTTCCCAAGGTCCGATTATGCTGGTTCGCGGTCACGTTAAAATAAACGTAGGTTTACACGTTTGTACAAAATTTCATCAAAATCGGATCATTTTTGCTCGAGTTATCGTGCTAACGGACACATATATATATATATATATATATGAATTTGAACGGATGGTGTTTTTGGCCTCTAGGGACCTCAAAATGAAAAATTATATCGGTCCCGGGTCCAGGTCTTACCATGAGTACTACGGTAATAGCTTATTCCCTATATGGGAAATTCGCTAAAAGAGAAATTCCGCGGTGGGTTTATATTTGTCAGGATTAATAGCCTCCTTAAAATATTACAAGTTATTAAGTAATATTTAAGGTCAAAGACGCGGAGTTTTTAAACTTTGAACTGCTTCCAAAACATACATTACCTATATAACTATAATACTTTTGGTTAAGTTTTCGACCGCTGGACGACCTCTAGTAGTTTGTGCCATGGGATGGGGTTGGTTTTAACTTACTTCTTAAGAAAGAATCATAAGTATGCCTTATGTTAATGTGTGCCTCCCATTTTACGTCCAAGTCACTTTGTCGACAAGTTAGGTGGCCTGTATAAATTTATAATTTTAAAAACTACTTTGTCATCATGTCATTTGTCCTGACATATCAATTGACTTAACATTGAAAATTAAAAATAAATTACCCAACATATTTCTTCTAAATGTCAGCCAATTGACCTGTCGACTAAGTAACAAGGCATCAAAGTAGATCATCCCATTTATCAAATTTATAATATCGGTCAAGTGGCATATCGAGCAAGTAACATTTCGAACAGATGGAGCCCTCGCAGCCAATTGAGTGAATACACCTTCTGTTGAATTTAAATACATATTCAACAAATTTTAACGCTACATCATAGCAAATTTCGATTTTGATTAAGTTTTAGGTAGGCATAAAACCCCTTTCCAGTGTTTTCTTACTTTAATAGGAATACCTGTAGAAAATGTATAAAATAACGTTTATGACCGTCAGTTAAATCAGTAAAGTTAAATTCTACATACTAGATGTTGGTATTTATCCCACTTTTATCTAGGAAATGTTTTGAATATTGTATTGAGCGGACTAACTCCTTTGAATGGTTTAAAAATCGACAAATTAATAAGTTACACTTCTACCAATAATTGTATACAGTACCTATGTAATAAAGTAAAAATTAATGTAACCCCTTTTGCAAATATTACCGTGATAAACATCTGATAACAAGTTGAATTAACTAATCGTATACTAAATTGAATAAATCAGTCTCCTAAATCAATGCATGACGTCGTTGAGTTTAGTTCCATCCAGGAATTGGTTGCATGGTTCATGAGTACAGCAACGTTGATAGTTTCGGAAACATCTTGTCTCATTAGAGTAGGCAGAAAGTAGTATTTCCCTTTTATCACTTCTGTACACATTGGTTGGATTTTGCACCTATTTCCTGGAACCTTTTGTAAAGATAAATATTTTATGTCACTTAATATGTTTTTCTTTAATATATTTCACTTTGTTTCAAATTGTTTTTCTTTTAAAACTATTCTTATTTTTATTCAGTGTGTCTTTGCTTTGTTTATCCCCTTTCTAATATAGATTTTAATCACAGACATTTCTATCAGACTCTTTTCGTCTGGTGATTCCAACTTTCAACTATTTTACACGCATTACGCATATACAGTAACACACCTGAATCACAGTCAATCAACTTCATCCTATCACCCCATTCTCCTTATCACTTCCAAAATCCAACCCTATCGGCCATCAGTTTCATGTTCAAGATGAGGCACCTCTTGATTAGTACCATCTTTTCTCCTTTGCATCTGCACCGTTCTCTCCCTCTATTTCTTGTTCTGGTAGTGGCACCGTCGCATGTGGACTGATGATTTCTGGGGTTCTTACAGCCGGAGTACCACGCTACCTCACGGCCGTGCAGGGTTCCCCTGGGTACCGAGACCATCTATAGTGAACCCGAGGACTTCAGGACCCCGAGTGAGGACAGCGGCTTAGGTCTCGGTCCTTCCGAGTTAGGGCCAGGTCGTAGGTGAGCCATCCCTTATTTCCGTTTTCACATTGTGTTTTTTTTTATTTGTTTCACTATTTTCTCCACCTACCTTGTCCTTTCTGGCTCAACTTGAGGGCGAAGCTTAGAAAATGGATCAGGGGGCGTTCTTTGGAAGATATGTTTCCTTCGAATGTTTACATGACAGGGTTTTCCTTTGCATGAAGGTCTACTAGTCTATATGATCATCAAAATAGTTTCCACAAAAGGGGTTCTTCATCTATTGTCGGAGGTGTCATTCTAATTTTGCGACTTTTAATTACAATTACGTATCCAGGACTTCTTGATTGAAGAATCTCAGTGTGTGGGAAACCAACATACTCTAGTTAGTATCCACTTCTAACACAACCTGCATTCACCAGGAGTCGTAAGCTTACCAAGTTTTAATACATGAGACCTTAACACGGTCAGAGTTTCTGTAAAACATCTCGTCTTGTTTGTGTGGATAAACTTCCGTAAATTTGAAATATTTGTGCAATTCATTCAGCATTTTATTCCATACCTCAACTGTTTTCTTTCTAACGTGGATTAGTATCACTAGAACATTGCATGCTTCGAAATAAATCTCATTGAACGCATTTGAAATGTTGATGCAGTTTCCTCAGTGAGCTTATCCTTATCCTCATTAAGACTTTCGTTTCCTTTATGTCATTACATTTATATCGTCTCTATTTTTTACATATCAATGTTTTTTTGTGTAGAACGTAGAGCAATGAAACCATGTAGGTAAATATTCAGCTTAGCAAATTAAGTAATGAGTAGCACAATTAAGAAACTTTCTTGGCAAACGGTATGCTAAATAGTTACTAACATTTTTCTACTTGTGTAAAAATGTATGTTAAGAATGCATCATATTTTTTAAGGTTATTACATTTAATGTTTGGTTATATTTTGTCATGAAATATTAAATCATCATCCAAGAGGGCACAATAGAATCATCAATCATAAATATTGTTATATTGTTCAACAGATTTTGTCCAACAATTATAACATTTTTCTGTCTTCTCCCCACACTTTAACTTTTAAGTCCATAAACTCAAACAGTTTAGGTTAGTTGATACCCGACAAAATCCTTCGTTTTAGGGTGATTGTAATTTACCTATTGAGTACAAATCAGTTGTATATGACAAAAAGTTAAAAAAATTTAAATCTTTCCTTTTAAAAGTAGATTTTTTTCTAATCAACACAGTCTCTAATTTTGAAAAGCTGAAGTATAATTTAAGTACATTTTAAAACACAAAAACATGTTATAATTACAAATAAAATTGCAGATATCTCTAAAAAAATGCTGATAGAGTCATAATGTTATTTCTTTTACTATTTATTTATTGAAAAAGGCCGGAAAATAGCAATTCTCTTCTCAATGAAAAGGTCCTAAGGGACATCAGATTCTAAGTAAGCTGCAACACAGAAGTTTAAACTGGAATTTCATTTTAAATTGCTAGATACTTTATATAGACATAATTTGAAAAACTTGCGATATTTAGAGTATTTTTTGAAATATTTTATAAAATCATTAGATTAAAAGTTTTCTGATTTCTTTAACGGTTCAGGATTTCCTTGACGAACGTTTTTCTGGTTCAGAACACTGAGTTTTCGTCTCATTCTCGTAACATTTAAGTTCGGGGACACGTTCTGTACATTACTCAAGAAGTTAACATCATGAAGCTCCGGAGCAACTTTGACAGGAAACACATAAACATTCTGTTACAAGATTTCCTTCCGTCTGTCTGCACATTCAGTCTTTTACTAAATTTAGTTATAAATATTTAAAAAAGTTTGATGGATTGACTTTTCCTATTTTCAACCTACAATAGTTTCAAAAGCAGTATAAAGTGAATTTTTGGAGCAAAGAAAATATTTTCCCCGTTGGGGTTTCATTGAGGAAAACATCACTACTTCATGTCTACAACACCAATAAAATAAGGTTCCGAATTGTAATTACCGTTTAAAATCGCCAAATACATTTTTTACATTAAAAAAAAACCTCTTTTACATATATATATAACTAATTAATACATATCAATTTTAATGAATTATATTGTTTGGTTTGAGTGTATGTTCTAAAAGGTAATATATACACTAATTGAACGTGCTAATTAAGTATCTTAAAGGTACGGTGTTCTACCTAAGCAAACTTCAGCTTGACTCCGCTAGAGATTTTGATGACAAAGCACTCTATACAGGGTGATTGATATAAGTGTGCCAGCCGTTTTATTCTAAAACTATAAGAGATATCAAAAAAAGTTAATGGTAAGTGCCTTGGATTTTTTATTTTAAAAATTTTAGTCAAGTCAAAAAAAATATTTTAGCCGCCATTTTTCCAATATGGCCGCCAACTTGGATTTTTCTTACAGAACACCCTGTATTTTATGATGTATTCCGGTAGAAAATGTAATTTTAAGACGATTTTATTCTTGGGATTTTTTTCATAAACCTAACCGTTTCAAAGATAATAATGTTTAAAGTTTTAAAAATTAGGCATAAGAAAGAGTTTCGATAAAGGCCTAAGCAAGCATGCCAGCTGCTTTATTCAAAAACTATTCAAAATTTCACAACTTTAACCATTATTATCTTTGAAACAGTTAGGTTTATGAAAAAAATCACAAGAATAAAATCGTCTTAAAATTACATTTTCTACCGGAATACATCATGAAATACAGGGTGTTCCATAAGAAAAATCAAAGTTGGCGGCCATATTGGAAAAATGGCGGCTAAAAAAAATTTTTCGACTTGACCACAATTTTTAAAATAAAAAATCCAAGGCAGTTACTTTTTAACTTTTTTTGATATCTCTTATGGTTTTCGAATAAAACGGCTGGCACACTTATATCAATCACCCTGTAGATCAAAGACTCCTTTCATTCAAATGTAAATCCACTTCTAAAGAAACCTTACTCTTAAATCTCCCTGAGAATATGTAATTCCACATATCTGAGAGCGTTGTTTCTACTATCTGCATTAAAAAGTCAACTCTTGACCAGTAGCCTAGAGTTTAAACTGAAGTAGGGCGTAGAGTTTTATTTATATGAATAAACGTTTACGAGACATTGATTCGGTTGTATAATAAAACAAAATACATTTTTTGCGAAAGGTAAGATACCTTTTTCGCTTCTCCAAAATAAAAATAAACTTGATTTGATTTTTTTATAGAACTACATTTTTTCTCTAGAGTAGATTGGATAAAGGCATTTGCGAATTATTAAAATACGTTAATACCTGAATATAGTGGACATATACTATTCTTCTCTTTTATTTTTTGATTTATGTTATGACCGATGGAATTTACCTTTGTTTAAACCCTTTTACGGTCATAGCTTCTACCTTAAAACATGTTTACAAGAGTTTGTAATAATGTGGGGAGAAATATTTAACATGGAACCTATTATTGTTACAATAATTGCATAGGTTTTTATATATAATATTTTTATGGTTTTTTATTTTTAATTATGTTCCAAACTAAATTGTCAAATTAAATTAATTAATTGTTAATTCAGATGAAGTTCGCTTGTACATCAGCCGTTTGTATGTTTTTTTTTCGTTGGAGATTCGTAAAAAATAAAAAGGATTTTCACAAGCATGTGCTAAATAACGTCAACTTACAAACTTGAAATGTCCAGCAAACGTGTGTTCTATAACTAACCGTTTGATTTTAAATCTTTTGAACTTGTATTCTTAAGAAAACTAAAGATGGTTTGGATTAATTATTTAATTTCACTGAAGTAATGTTTTAAATATTTTTATCTTATACCAAAAGTACAATATTTTATAATTTTTTATAAGGGATAAATATTTAAAACCGTTCCGTAAAGTTTAAGGGCAACTTACGTACTCTAACAGTTTTTTGCTATTCTGTGTTTTTGCGAAACCTATCCAACACTCAACACATGTCAAAAGTGAGTGAAAATATCTCTTTAGTACTTTTGTGAAAGAAAACAGCGATAAACATGGTGAAATTTGACCTATTAAAAGGATTTTTTTAACATTTCTGTTATTACTAAATCAATCCTTGTGGATTTATTGTTGCAACAATTCCTTCCCTTTTATATTTTGTATAGTTTGTTTTTCATTGTGTTTTTTAGACGATCGCTATCCACTATTTTAAAATATATTAAATATATTAAAATCTAGATTAATATAAAAAAAACATAAACAATGCTCACGTTTCAGAAGTATTGTAAAATCTAAAATTGCTTACTATTTAACTTAGGTAAAGAATTTCTTTGCAGACGATTTGTTAACAGGCAAACGTAATCTTTCGTATCAGACTTAGAACACCACTTATTAAAAAAGGTTCAAATAAAAATCAAACTGTATATTTCTAGGTCACAGTTTTCAAATCATGATGAGAGATTATTGTTTACTTGCCCCGTAGTGCAGACAATGTTCAATATATATTCCACCCCCTAACCTAGAACAGTATATGGAACACATATAATACAGGATGCTCACATTGACTGAGTGTATAGACAGACTAAGTCTTCCGGCTATAATATACTTCCCGGGCTTGTGTACTTGGAGTAAGCCATTGATTTTAAACTCAACTGTTCTACCTAATCCTATATTTTATTGCTCACTGTGTATCTAAAACATATAGGTAGGTACCTACAATAAACGTTGATACTTTATTACAAACTTGACTTACCAAAGGAAATGTATATTTGAGTATCCGTGGATTTTAATAGAATACTTTTTAAGTTTTATCCGTTTTGAGTAGTACAGTTAATTTTTATTTTGACATCAAAGTAGACTAGTTAAAAATGCTTCAGGATTTTTATTTTCACGTATAGATAAGATAAATAATTTTGTTGGAGAGGGGTGAAGATTGACAAATGACTGTTGTTTTATTTTTTAAAAACTATGGGACCAGTTTAAACAGGTAAAATATTTAAGTCAATATACTATTTCAAAGAATTATTACATAGAAATGACTGTTAATATTTAAAATGTGGGTTTAAATTAGCTGTAGAATACGTTTTTTGTTTCAAAGTTACTATTCTTTAAAAACACGTATGTTTTTTAACTAGAATCTTGTTAAAGGTAAATTTATTACTTTTGAGCCTAAGCTAAACCTTACAATTTGTCCATGTGTGATTCTTACTACTAATGAAACATACTTCTTTATATGATTATACATTTAGTATCCTTTTAGACGGCTAAAGACAGTTTAAATGTTTGTTTTCAAACGGATCATAAAAAGGTCGTTTACTATATTTATTTAGCCAAATTTAAAAGTGTTTTACTCAAACAACAAATTTGTAAACTCACCCTCTGATAGTATAACCAGAAAGTAAAATTCAGCTTGTAAACCATAAGGTAGGCTTCCACATTCAGTTTAGACTTCTGAGTCTTGGTCTTCGAGGGATTATGACGACTTTGAACTCGCGAAAACACTGATTGACCAACGTTTGCGATACGTTTGCAGCAATCTATCTTCGGGACAAGCTGAAATTCAACTAAAATTAATATTTAACTGTAGCTTGCCTTTGGTGTCATCCCCCGAAGAACTAGATTCGTTAGTCTACTAAAGTCCACCACAAAATATGAAAGGAACTCTGAACCAAAATTACATCATAGATTAAAGAGTCTACCCTTTTAATCTATGATCAAACCCATATAAACTGCTTGAGATTTAACAATAGGACGAGCAATCTACTAGTAGCCTATAGTCATAGCGTTAGTAGGATAGTGTAGCTACTAGTAGTGTGTGTGACTCCAGCATGTACCCCCGGGAGACGATCTGTCGGGAGAGGGATTGTCCCGGGAACCAGCGGTGGTCGCCGACCTATCTCAACAAGAGGACGTCCGACCTGGCGCTCTCCAACGACGAGGACTATGACCATGGCCATCAGGTAATTACCAGGAGACTAGGGTGTGTCAGGGGATCAGAAGACAGATGATCAGGAGATAAGTGATCAGATGATTGGTGATTAGGAGATAAGTGATCAGATGATAGGTGATTAGGAGATAAGTGATCAGATGATAGGTGATTAGGAGATAAGTGATCAGATGATAGGTAGTGTTTGTTAGGAGTTTTGATCAGTTCAAATTTGACAAGAATCAATATCTTATATACTAAAAAACTTTTGCAAAACTTGTGACAGCTAGCCTGACCATACTACTGGACCGAACTACACGCGGTTGGTAAATTAAAGAGATTTTCCTTTAGATGTGCAGAATCCTTTTATAATTAAAACAGGCTCATAAATAAGCGGAAAATGAATTTGAAATTTAAAAAAAATCAACATTGGTCTTATGGGTTGCCACGCTGGTGAGAAAATAACAACAAAATATAAACAGAAAATCAAAACAAATGAAAGACATTCCAATCACATGTTTTAGTTACAGCGTGGGGTGAAAATAGAGAAGTTTGCACAATACATACTTTTGGTCGAGTTTTCGACCACGGGGCGAGCTCTCGTTATATTCGATTACAAATTTGTGAGCACAAATGGAACAGCTGTAGCCAATTTATTCAAATAAAACATTGTTGGACTATCAAGTTACAGGATGATATATTAGTAAAACAAACTACCTCTATTAGTTTACAAAAGTTTGGCTTGGTTAGATATTATAATAATTAACATATAGCATATCACATATAGCATATCACCTACAGCAATCAATATTTTAAAATATAGCATATCATATTAAAACATATAACACATGTAACATATAGCATATCCTTCATTTTAGCTTGTTTAAAAAGTTCGTATAAAAAAAATAATAGTTTACATCAGTACACTCTGTCAGACTTGTAATTTAGCAATGTTTATTTTTATTTTAAATTTTTCACCGGGAAAAATAATATAAAAATTATTCTGGAACTGTATAAAAATGCATTACCTTTGACAGTTTAGTTTAGAGACAATAAGTAAATTAATTGTTCATGTCCCCATTATGGTGAATACCACGTGACTAACAGTGATTAATAATTTTAATGATTGCGTCATTGTTCAGGTCAATCATATATAAATGACGTCACTATGGTTGTAATTTCTGTAATAAACATATGACGTCATGGCGTCTGTCACCAGCAAATGTTGTGTTGGGAGATTTGGTTTGACCAATTAACATGCTAATTTGTTGTACCTCTTAATGGTACGGAATAAGGAATTAATTAATCGTAATAATTAATACAGTATCATATTTTAACGTTTTGAATATAGTGAAATTCTGAACAACAATAATCGAATGATTGAAACTGCACTAATGATATGCATTTCAGAAATTGTCATGTATTTTATGCAGTCTGTTTGGAGGCTTTCTGTTTTAATTTGCCTAAAGTATGATTTCGATCAATTCTTTAAGAACTGGATATTGTCCGTTAGCTTGGATTATTTTCTGTAAATCTGAGATGGAAAAGTTAAAGGTTAGTTAATCATTTCTATAGAGTAAGATTACTTTAAATCTAAATCTTAAATAATGCTTTTAAATTAATTGAAATGTAAGTGTTGTATTTTCGTATGCATTTTTATTTTTTACGAATCTAGTATATCAAAAATACCAATGGAAGATATGCTCTCTCTCCCAAACTTACAACGTTAATTTGTATTGTACACACCTAACGATTTTAAAAGAGTTTATTTTAGTAGTTTTATAATTTGTTGTCTTGTTTAAATTTAGTTTTTGGTTTTAAACCGTTGTTTGTTACTAGTATTTTTATACTCTATTTCAATATAAAAATCAATTGATTATTGTTATATTTGTTAATGAATAAAGTGGAACAACAAAGTCAAAATACAACCTCCTAAAAAAGTATTGTCTTAGGTCTTACTTTAAGTTTTACATGTTGTCTCGTATCTTGCATGCCACTGCTGAAGTTTCAGTTATACGTCGTTCACACAGTCTTTTACATTGTGGCGTAAAAGCAATAGTTCTTACTAAAAAAAAGTTATTCCCAGTTTCTGAGCACATGCTGCAATCCATGTAATTGATATTGGAATGAAAATATAGGGTGGTAAAAAAGCTTAACCATGGTAAATGTAGTTTGTTTCACTATGGTAATTTTATTTCTATTATACAAATTGTTCTGAGTATTACTCGATTTTATTAAGAGGCAGGCTAAATGTTTAAAATATAATAGCAATTTTAACATTTTGTTTTAAGATATAGAATAAACTGATAGCATCCTTTTCCAAGTTGGAATCACAAACGATTTGGATAGTAAAACAGCTGATCATGTAATTCATGGCATGAAATAGAACCTTTTAGAACTAATTTGATAATGCTGAATTATGCTCGTTCCGATAAAAAAAACTGTCTTAAAATAAATGTGTATTAATTTGTCAAAATATTTGGATCCATAATTTGAATAAAATATTTTCCCATATTTGAACTATAGTAAAAAAAATGTTAATACTAAAACAACTGATCATTAAAAGCTAATCATGAAATATTGTTTATCAGTTTGATTTTTACTATTTCAATTTAGTTGTTATACGTATACTTTGAGTTGTGTTGTGCTCGATTTTGATCAACAAACGACATAATAGAGTAAAACCATTGGTCAAGAGATTTCAATTTCTTAGTTGATGTAATTTTTTTCTAAAATTATAATCATGACTACAACAATTTATCATCTTTGTTTAGACTGTGACAATGACAGTGATTTAATCAACAGATATGTTGTACGTTATCAAGAGATTGTGTGAACGGCTAGGCGCACAGTGTGTCTAGGTGGTAACGTGGTGGCTGGCAGGTGCTAGTTGGTAGGTGCTAGGTGCTAGGTGCTAGGTGCTAGGTGCTAGGTGTAGTCGTAGATGTACAAGGTACTGTGGCTGTCTCGCAGGACTATGGTGAATTGCACGATCATGAGCTCGACAGAAGACACCATACGACCATCTCCACCGTCAAGTCACTCAACCAGCCCTACGATGACGCCAACATGGTGAGTACAAACCACAAACCCTCTCAAAGTTCATTTCATTTGTAAGATACGTTATTTCTTAAGGTTACGGGTGGGTGCTACCTCTGACATGTAGCGAATCGAAGTTTCTAATACTAGTTGTCAGTTTGAATGTCAGGGGAATTTTGTAAATTGGGAACTTAAACGCGTTATGGGCTGTAGTCCATACCCCTAATTCTTTACGTCTGATTCGTTGTAGATGTGCCCTAACAACTGGTCCTTTTGACGAAGTCTGCTAGGCTAGCAACACACACAAATTGTTACAATCTATTTAGATTTTAAATCGAATTACTATTTGATTTCACTCCTTTCTCAAATTCTTGATTCTTGAATGGGCTGATATGAGTTTTTAAATAGTCAAGGTAATTGAAACAATTGGTAAAATCCTATAGAACCGGTTGATGTTTTCAGCTTCAACAGATTCGTCACATGAAATTTACTGCTAGACGCTTTGCTATTGCTGTGAACTGAGCCATTTTTTTTCCCAAAAGGCAAAAAGTATAGAAGGCCTTTCTTCGAAAGATTATACGTGTCTCTGTATCTTAGTTTTTAAAAGGTTTCGAACAGATTAAGAACTTTAAAAAACCTTTATCTAAATATTAAAACCCATTATGAAAGCTGGGTATTTTTTTCATTTTACGTAACTTACAGCTATTTCCTAACGTACGGAATTCCAATACTATTCTAAATCTTTAATCTTGTAAACATTTTGCAAACACAATATTACGTTGATAATTTTTTCGATGTCACTCAAAAAAGTGTTAAATGCAATCAACTTTTCAATATTAATAAACTTAATTTTTCTTTGTAAGTAATATGATATTGAAATCCTAGGAGAGACAAATGCAAATCTGTTACAGTGGAACCTTGATAAGAAGACCCTCGATAAGAAGTCAACCTTGATAAAATGTCTTACTTTACAATCCCCATGAAAGTCTTGTTATCAAGGTTCTACTGTAATTAGAATTCTATTGAGATAGCGCTCACCCATAGTGTGTAAAAGATTCATAAGTCCCAAAAGGTAAAATAATATTGTATGGGTTACTTAAATTAGTTTTTTTACCAATTACTGTCACGTTTATAAAACACTTCGTTGAAGACAAAAATTGATTTATTTGAAACTATTAGGCGAATCTCATATAAATTGGATGAATCTTCGAGAGCGAGAAATCTGTCTGTCTGGAGTTTAAAGAAAGTTTAAGAGTCTGTTCATTTACGCGATTCCCTAAACATTTTGGTTAAGGTTAAAATTGTATTTGTCGAGTATTTTGTGTTTAACGTGAAAATTGATATGTTTAAAGATTTGTATTTGATTAGTTTTTTTGTCAAAGTGAAGTTTTAGTTTAATGTGGAAGAGTATATGCTACTGTGAAGTGGAAAACCATCACAAACATACATATAGCCAAAATTGTGTTCCTGAAAATGTTATAGATAAAGTTTTAAGGTGAATTACCTAGGTACAAAATAAAGTAAGGCGGATTTCAACATAAATTACATGAAATGTATAATAAGATTTTAATGGGTATTTTATCTCTCTTTCAAACAATTCTGCTTTTAGCGAATTTCCCATATAGGGAATAAGCTATTACCGTAGTACTCATGGTAAGACCTGGACCCGGGACCGATTTTTTTTTTTCGTTTTGAGGTCCCTAGAGGCCAAAAACACCATCCGTTCAAATTCATATATATATATATTTTGGCCAAACAGGACGAAATTTTCAAAGTAGATACAAAGAACATATTCAAGCAATTAAATCAAACAACAGAACTACACAAAAATCTACATTTGCAGAACACATACTTTCTACAGACCATACATACAAAAATTATAACGAAAACATTACCATACTAGACATTATTAACAAAGGAACCAAAATGAACATAAAAGAAAATTTTCACATATATAAACACTACAAAGAAGACAGAAACAACATTTTAAATATAGTACACACACAAACCACTAATCCTATATTTAACAAAATTATAAGTGTTAGAAAAACCAACAACTAAACATTCATTCACATAGGTACTAACAAAATTAACAGCTGTATTTATTCATAACATAATATTTTTGTTTGAAATTAGGTTAACACACTTGAAAATGTCCTTAGAGACGAAACATGTTGTGATTTATTAAATAAAAAAGAATATAAAAAAAGGGTACTCATGTTATTTTACATATTATTTATTAAATATTTATATATATATATATATTTATATATATATATATATATGTGTCCGTTAGCACGATAACTCAAGCAAAAATGATCCGATTTTGATGAAATTTGGTACAAACGTGTAAACCTACGTTTATTCGAACGAGTTCACGAACCAGCATGATCGGACCATTGGAACGGGGGTTTATGGGGGCTTTTATGGGGTAAAAATGGGTTTGTCCCATTTTTGACCCAAAAAACATAAAATTTTGCAATTTCTTTCTAAGCTATTTTGTAGAGCTTAAAAAAACAAATAATTTAGTATATTGAAGCGTTATAATGCGCCTAATAGTTACGGAGAAAATTCCAAAAAATTGTAAATTTAAAATTTCCATGTTATTCTTATGGAGAATAAGTAAACTGTTGTAGTTTGCTTGTTTATTAACATATTTTGCCCAAATTTGGAGAATGTTTTTATTTCTTACCAACTATTAACATTTTACATAAAAAACACTTTTACCCTCCCTGTTGCAGCAAACCTAAGTATGTTTTAAACTGATTCTTTTTAAATAGGGAATAAATGTGATATTTTTAAGGAGACATTTTAGTGTAAATCCATTCAGGGAAATGGAAATTCGCTTAGTCTGCAGGTTTGCTGCGGCGGGGGTATTTGTAAAATTTGCTTTAAAAGTTATTGATGACAATTTTTTAAGTAATTATCACAATAAATATTTAACAATAGATGCCGTCAACCATTTGTGAACTTTAGATAGTGAACACAATAAGTTAGTTAGTTAGTGCTTCCCAAATAGTTTACAAGGTTTGTGTTGCTCCTTCGACTTTTAGATACATCTTTGCCTGCGTGTTTGACTGGGAGTCTTCTAGCGGAAGAAGGCTCCCTTTTCCTTTGTGTAAAACATTCTACCGCCCAAATAGAATGTTATCAGTAAAGTTTTTTTTCTACTTAACACCCCATCCCAAATACCAGAATATAGTTTTATATCATAATTTATGTTTCAAACCAAATTTATTGATTTGATAGTTTTATGTAATATAATAAATGTTTAGTAATAATATTATAAATAAATAATAAATTTAAATAATATTAGTTTATGAATCAAATTAAGAAATATAAAGCAACTGATTTCAGTTTTTAATAAAGCTACAATTTTATTCAGTGTAAATAGAACTCAAAAAGCGTCGCTGTCTTTATAAATTGACTAAATATACGGTATCTCTAAATAAATAAATTGATATATATACATCTACGTATTTGCTTGAAACCTTTTTCGTATCTTAGCCACAAAAGTCATCCTCGTCAATAATTTTTGTAGAGTTCTGTTGTATCAATATACTGGGTAGAGTACATCCAGGTCTTTTCAAATACGTGTGGAACTTTCAATCTTTCTCTATGGCCTTTAAGAGTTCATTTCCATAAATTTATTATTTTTTATGCGCTAAATGGAATTAGGGCAAGAAACATTTGATCGGTTTGACAATATCATACTTTTTTTAATAAAATGTTCTTGTAATATTTTAATATGTTTTCATACTATACTGTTCAGTTATTATCAAGCCGTGAAAACATTGATCATGACATCAATATTGCTAAATAATTATGTTATTAAATAATAGTGTCATTTCCAAAGTACAACATCTTGGACAAAATTAAAATATCAATTCCATCAGGTTTGACCTCCTTAGCAAATTAGTGATAGATACGTTTCGAGAGCTGATATATGCCGTGCAGATGGCAATTAAACTATCTCAGTAAACATCACTAAGGGATTAACACATTAGGAAGTTTCGTGCTTCTAAGTCATTAGCAAGCGTCGGCCTACTGAGATAAAAACTACCTTCCGCATTCTAATTGTTATCAATTGTCACAAAGAAGGTTGGCTTCAAGAGGATAGATGAGTTTTGGAGCTGTTTAAGAAAATAAATCTTGAGTTTTGATTTTCAGCTAACTAATAACATTCATTCTTAATAATATATTTAAGACGGAAAAGCGGTCTTTGCCAGTGCGAGACGAAGTCGAGCACGGAATTTAGATCAAACACTGGCAAAGAGCTTTTCGGACGAGTATAGAATCATACTATTCGTCATACTACAAACAAGTATGATTATTGATTGTAAGGTTTTCATCTGTACACCAGTTGACAAATCTTTTGTATTCATCCTTTTATCTGTTACGAGATACTTGAGGTAGCAATTCATTTGAAACTTGACTTACTCAGTCCAAAAGGTTTTGGGATAAATTTCCACTTCCACTAACCATTATTTCAGAAATCACCAAAACACAATGCCATAATATGCTTCGCACTTGTAACACCAATGAGAGGTTAAATGTAACCAATCATATGACAATAATAAAAGTCAGCTGTTGTGACGCGTTTGTAATTTCTAATACTGATCTGAAAAGAGCTGTCCCGCAAAAATAGGCATTCACCATAAGATTAACATGTAGCTTATTTTAGTGATCGTAAAAGACAACGAGGGAACTTTATGTTATTTTTAATGAAAACAGCAAGTTTCCAGCCCCATTTTATACTGGAGGCCTACCTAGGTTTTGACGGGTGGTTCAGAAAAGAGTGAGAGGCCATATACGATTTGAAGTTTTAATACTATTTTGAAAGGGCACTTTGCATGAGTGTGCAATATTTTATGGAATACTAATAAAATAAGGGATAATCTGAGTTTATTGATGAGTATTATGTTTCATCATTAAACTAAATTTTCTATTGGTAATCAATTCTTGGTCGGAAAATGACTTTACTAGGTTTTGTTGAATTATTGTTGCTTCTTCAATGCTTCTGGTCAATCTTAAGTAAACTTTATTAACTTTCATACACTTATATTACGTAATGGCTAAGCGTACCATTCCAAGAAAGAGGCTACAAAGTTTAAAAATAGCGATCATTATTAAAATGATCGCTCTGATCATGATTAAACTTAAATAAACATACTTACATTATGAAAAGGAAGAATACATGAGACAACAAAAATAAATTAATATCACTAAAGCTGGTTTTCCAAATTAACTACTCAATATATTAAACAATGATGGGTTTTCTTTTCCGAGTCGGTTTGGCTCTTCTGCCCAGCCGATTGTCATGATTTTTTTTTTTTAATTAAAGGTATGTACACACTAATTTGCCAACAAGCATTAGTATTCATTTATCTGGCGTTTATTTCAAGATATGCAGAAAAGTAACTTCCTCCCTGTACGTTTATTATGGGAGTTAAATTTTGATTTTCTTTTCCTAGTTCATTTGTCACCTCTACCCGACCGATTTTCATAATATTGGTCTTAAATTAAAGGTATGCATGCACAGATTTATTTGTCTACTATATTACTCTACCAAAAAACATAAATTAGTTTTTTTTTCGAATCCTTACTTCAATTAAATTAATGTATTCACCATTTCTAATTACATTATCCTATATGTTTTGGTCTAAGAACCTTCAGTAAAATACCAGCTCTCATTTAAACTATTGATTGTTAAGATCTGACGTACCTGAAGTATGCTGCTGAATCACGAATCAACAATAATTCTAATTATTTAGAACTTATCTGTAATAAATTATACGTAACTCCATTTTGAGTTCTTTTATATGTCTTGGTCTTAAAATACTCCTTTCTAAGTATAATAGCTTCGCTTAGATATATTGATTGTTTGAATCAGTTAAGTTCAAGATACTGTATTACTCAATAAAAAAAATGAAATAAATGCTTATGTTACTACTGTATTTCTTTTTCTTGGTTGTATAGCGTAGACATTTAAATTATAGTGTTCTTTTAATGATGGTTTAAACAAACAAATGATATAATACCATATCAATTGTTGGTTTAAACCATCATTAAAAGAAGATTTTACCATGTCTAACAACAGTTGTTTTTTCACATACACAAAATGTTTATTTCTCCCCAGACTATCCCATGACTCGAAGTTTATAGGAAGTTTTGAACGCTGATTTTCGCAAATTGTATTTTCAAATGGTGACTCCTTGACGAGTACCAAAAGATGGAAAGGTTTTAACGAAGCTGATTGTTGTGTCAGTCAGTTCGACTAAGTTCGGTCATTTGTCACTATGGCTTAGGTGTGAGAGCTCTTCTGGGCGTTGAATATGAAGTTGAGTATGTTTAAAATGTTATAACAACTATTAGCTTTATCCGTATTTCGCAAATGGTAGTAGGCCTAGATTTTTGCAACTGGGTCCTTCAAAGTTTCCGTAAAAAGCTAGTAGTATTATCGTACTAATGATTATATATTCATTCATGTTTATCTAAAATCAATGTCATCTCATATCCATTTGATTTTGAAAATAATACTACAAGGCTCTTAATACTTTAATACTTTTTATGAAATGGCGACCATACATAGTAGGTATTTTAAGCCAAGTATGAATGGAGATGAGTGTAGGATGAGTGGCGCGATCTTGTAGTCTTGTTAGTGACTAAGGCCGACATTCCTTAGACACAGCTGTTAATTAATAGCCCCTACAGCTAATGGCAAATAAGGGACCTACAGTTTATAGTGGAATCCGAACCACATTTTTTTGCCTTGGTATATACGAATTGGTCTAATTATCAGGATAGCACTGCGGGTAGTCGTAGTACTCACTCGTGCGGACGTTAATCCACACCAGGAAGTATCGCATCCACAGTGCATGCCTATAAATATCCACAATTCGTGACCTCCTAGTAGCTGGAGGACGACGCCACCCGTCCCATATACTATACTATATAGTGGTACAGTACTAAATATTCTATTTGATTTGCTTCATTCATAAGTTGTATCATCGTTGAACGTGTAAACACTGTTGTTTTATTTTCCCACTTTAGGACGAAATTTGATTAAACTCGCATTTGGCTCGCTGGACGATAAACATATAGGGATATTAATCTGTTAGACTAATTTTTGCTTCGTTAGACCGTATACCATGTTACTTGTTTCTAATAGGCTATTTTTGGGACGTGAATATAAAATGTGAACCCTGGTGATATTTTGTAAAAGACTCGCTACACTACCAATGTTGGTATGTATTGCATAGGCATAAGTGCACTTTAAAAGATTGTAAACATTTGTTTCGAAATACGTACTAGTTTTCTGCGTAACGTAGCAAGCTTGAAAGGAAAATAATAAAAATTTAACTGCAAAATAATATTAAATATATTATTTAATAATAAAATGATAACAATACAAATAATTATTAGCTAAACAGTCTTAGGGCTAAAAAGAAACTTTTTACAATAGGAAACATAGCTATACTACTGTATCGTTTAACATATAATATATAGGTACTTAAAAGATATTTTATTGAAAGCATTTTCCCCTTTTTAGTCTAGTTTACTTGCGGAAACAGAACTTTGTTAAATTGTATCATTAAACATGATGAAGATGAAAACATATTAAAGAATATTACATTATTAAAATATCAACCGATTATTATTTCAAAATTGTTTTATATGTGGTAAAAGGGTCGACAGACATTTTGTTTTCAAAATACGTAAAAAATACGTATTAAGGGATTTAAATACAAGTTTAACGTCTTTATATGATCATAAATGTTTATAATTATTTCTATAATAGCTCACAACTCAAAGGGTCAGTGAAGTCATAATCTAATCATAAACTAGAGTCATAATCTATTAACTTGATAAATTTATGATGATTTATTTCTACGACGTAAAAGTTGTAATTATTCCAAACTAAAAAGTTCTCTTGCGTTATAATAGCTGAGGAAAACGTAATTACAAGACTTTAAAAGAGAAACAAGACTTGCATTTGAATACAACCCCCTTCCCCCTTCATATTCTTGATGAGTGATGGAGAAAGGGGTGGGGGGGGGTGGGGGGTTGGTGCCTCAAGCTAAACATTCTCTCGTTTTACATGAATCTTGACGAGAAACATTATAAAGTAAATATTCCATTCCCGAATATTACATTGCATTAAACGATTGACTTGTTGAAAAGAAGTAGACATCTATATGGATCAGTTAAGCTATTTTTCTCCATATAGAACATAATACTCATCTCCCTGATTTTACACTTTTCTATAGTCTGTTTCTTTGTTGTTAATAATAAAAGATATTAATTTGTTTGGTATTAATCGGAAGGAGTCCGTGAATTTGGTTCCTACAAACGGTTAGCTTTGAAGTTTAAATAATGATCGTAAAAATACCGATAGTGCAGTATTTCTAAAAAGGACTTTCGTTATCCTTTTTTGGTGTTGTGTGACAACAAAGATTCTTTATGTTTCAATAAGTTGCTCTTTTAGTTTGGCTTGTTAAAAAAGTTAGTGTACACGGCAAACTTAGACTTTTACTTAAAAATTACCAATAAAATCATAATTTTCTATAGAAAAATGTTAAACGATTGATTAACTACTTTTTCTCATGAAAGTCTTCACTTTCAATCGCTTATGTCTAATTGAACCAGGTATTAAGTGACAACATAGCGGCTTCGCCACTTTCCCCGGGTTTCTATAGCTTTTCCTGGATGCTTCTTCTGAGTTCCTCTGTCGCCTTTTCCAAACTCCTCTTGGTCTTCTCCGCTTCCTCAGATAGGTAGTAGTCCTTGGGTGGTTCCGTGGGGTACCTCAGGGCACCAGTCTGGAACTTGGGTCTGGGGATCCTCACCCTCTTCACCTCCAGTAGCCAACTCTCCATGGTGCTAGGTTCTGGAACAGAAGGGAGTGTCGTGAAATAACAGTTGTAACTGAGAAAAGCTTTTAGGAGTCTGTAGATGGTGTAAAATTGAAATTCTGTTAGTAAACATATATGAAAGAATCGTGTAAAATATCCCAACAAAATTAAAGTTGCACTACTACTAATGTACTAACCTAATTCAATACTTCCAAACTTACCGAAAATAATCCAACCCAACATTATTTAAAAAGTCACTGCTTTCAAACTTGTGTAATTCTAATATGTCAGAATCTTACCGAATCTGATTAAACCTAACGTAATCGTAACTATGCTACTAACTCTGACCTAGCCAAGTTAACATCTTTTTATGCTATACAGGGTGAATCTCGTAAGGTGTCCAGTATTGATTTTAGACAAACCGTTGGTCCTACGATGATGAAGTAAAATTATTTCCCACTAAACCAACCCCAAGGAATAACGTAAAAATATTTTTAACGATTTTTAAATACAGGGTGTACCAGAAACTGAGGGTCACTAGTCCGAATCTACGAAATATCAAATACAAACGTATATCATGTTATACATAAAATTAAAGCTCTTTTCAATCCAAACCATTTGGCAGAATCGGATTTTGATTATATTGATTCATTTCAAAATGGCGGCTGTTTTTGTGAAAAAATTAATATTTTTTTGAATACCCTGTATTTTTCTTAAAAATGCAGATATCTTGATTCTGATTCAAATATCGCATTCCTTATGAGCTAAGCTTTATTTTGATATGCAACACATCAATATTATCTCTAAAACAAAAAGTTTCAAAAATATCAGTTTTTGAAAATATGTACATAGCCAAAACTCAAAAATTTCAAATAGCACCATTAGTCAAATAGCATATCATTTTAAAGGTATTGGAATTCTAAGAAACTTTCAAATTTAAACCTTATGCGTATCTATTTTGGTTTTTGAGTTATCAACAAAAAACATGTTTTCCCACATTAAAACTCATGTTATTTGTGCGTCAGCCAGACGGCTATAAGTGTGGTCCAGCCTTTACCACCATGTTTAACAAATAACATGCGTTTTAATGTGGGGAAACATGTTTTTTGTTGATAACTCGAAAACCAAAATAGATACGCATAAGGTTAAAATTTGAAAGTTTCTTAGAATCGCAATACCTTTAAAATGATATGCTATTTGACTAATGGTGCTATTTGAAATTTTTGAGTTTTGGCTATGTACATATTTTCAAAAACTGATATTTTTGAAACTTTTTGTTTTAGAGATAATATTGATGTGTTGCATATCAAAATAAAGCTTAGCTCATAAGAAATGCGATATTTGAATCAGAATCAAGATATCTGCATTTTTAAGAAAAATACAGGGTATTCAAAAAAATATTAATTTTTTCACAAAAACAGCCGCCATTTTGAAATGAATCAATATAATCAAAATCCGATTCTGCCAAATGGTTTGGATTGAAAAGAGCTTTAATTTGATGTATAACATGATATACGTTTGTATTTGATATTTCGTAGATTCGGACTAGTGACCCTCAGTTTCTAGTACACCCTGTATTTAAAAATCGTTAAAAATATTTTTACGTTATTCCTTCGGGTTGGTTTAGTAGGAAATAATTTTACTTCATCATCGTAGGACCAACGGTTTGTCTGAAATCAATACTGGACACCTTACGAGATTCACCCTGTATAACCCAATGTAACCATACCTAATTTTACTCAATCCCTAACTTAACGACACTTTGAACAGCCTGGCATAGTTAAACTCGGCTACAAATAAATGTAGTACTTTTGTATTATGAGTAGAATGCTATTGATATCTTTCATATTCGCTCGAAAAAAGTTAACCTTTTAAATGTTCCAAGCCTAAGACCTTTAGCGTTTTACGAAATTTATCCTACTTAATTGTATTTAAACATAAACCTGCGCAATAGATTTAAAAATGCATCGTCACACAGCATTGAAATATATACAAGACACCAAGTACCTACTGCACTCACTGTAAACCGGATCGAACGCAATAGTGAAACTAGTGCGTTTCAGACTTTCTACCAAGTTGCCAATGCAAATTCATTCAAGCAGCATTATTAGATCGGATTTCAGAGAAATGCATGAGGTAAGTGACTGGAGGTGACTGGTCGGAACCGGTTAGTTAATATGGATAAGATCGACGACTGCACTATCGGAGAATCCGTCTTCCGTCTTCTACTGTTAAATGTTAATTATGTTGACAAGCTATCCGTGCAACTTGCTAGGTTCTTGGACAGTTTATTTCCTATGATGGTCATGGAAACACCGATTGGTTCTTTTGAGAGAGACTCTGGATTGCCGGGTGAAGGGTTTTCAGAAAAGGCTCCGGTAAAGAGAAGTAAGAGTTCGTTACTGAAAATATAATTAAGAAATGTATACATAGATCCTGCTGAAAAAAGTATGGGGGGTTTAGATAATGTTATATTCATACGATGTCGATGTACCATGGCACGTATTTTAAGGAAAATATGAAAGAAGGATGGGTGTTAAATGAAAAAATTATAGCCTCTTTACCAGGATCAGTACGTCCTTTAGCCGTTATAAAAAGCTCTATAATCAAGGACACCTGGGTCTGGTAACTCTTCGATCACTGGGGGAGAACTTATCACTGAGCTTTTTGAAAGTTGCCATTGTTTTATGTTATTTATGTTGACGTGAGTTGTTTTGAAAAACATATGTTGTAATATGAAAAACGCTCAAGAATAAAGACGATTTTCATTTCATTTCATCTAACACCATGAAAACTAACCCCCAACACACGTGTGTACATGTTTCACCACTACTTCGACCACTCAATCAAGCATTGCGACGTTTTGAAACCAATTGTTACGTTAGGAGAGCACAAGAGATTACGACGATTGCCCCCGGTCGTTACTGACCCCAACTATAACACGTCGTTTGAGGCGTAACCCTGTTTATTAGTCGGAACTTTCTCCATGACTCATGTGCCCAACATGGTCAGACCACGTGGGTTCACAGATAATCTCGATCCGGCTCGAAGGACCAACGATTTTTCAAAGCCTAGTCGCTCTTTGTCAGTGTCCAACTTAATCGTGTGTGGGAAATCGTCTCTCGATCGTATCGAATTCTCAGTAGAAACACACGGATTGGATACATGTTTCTTAATTTTGTATTTTCTCTTATGTTTGTTGAAGTGAGTTGTCTGATTTGTGTACACTCAGATGTGTCAGCAATCTTATAATAGGGAAGAACACCCAAAGGAGGAGTACACATAATAGCATTAAAAGCCTCCTTTAAAAGCTAAATAACAAAATAATTCAATCTCAGAGACAAAAGACGACTTAATCGTGTGCAGGAAAACTAAAAACATCTCTTCAACCAATCGACTTCTCTATAAGAATATTCGGATGGATGTATGTTTTACTACTTCGGTATTAAGTCTCCTGTTCGTTGAATTAATATTTCCGATTAGTGTAGGCCTACCGTTAATCAACTTATGTGGTCGATAAGTTAACCTAGTTCGCAGCAACAGTTCCAATAGCATGAATGTAAACAATAAAATAAAACTATAAAAGGAATACAATTTTACGTAAATAAATTGAAAACTCTACGTTATATGTTTAATTAACTCTTAAACCTTAGGCATACGTACACTCAGTATTTAACACCAACCCTAGATTCTCCTTTAGAAGCTAGACAACGAAAGAGCTCAATTCCAGAGACAAAAGACAATATTGAATCTCAGACGAGTCGTCCATTAGCTTTCTGGCCAGACAAAGCGGAGCGGTCAAGGCCATGTTCTTGTCACCTCTCTACATCTCTAGATGCTGACATGTCTTTAGACTCTATAGACACTAGATGCTAGCGCAAGACCGTGTGGAAGATGGAATCGATCCCCAACCACAGGCGCTACCCCATTTGGGGATTCTTTTTCATAACTTTGTTTTTTGCTTCATTTGTATCCAATACTTTTGTACTGAAATAATAAAGCATTAATTCACTAGAGAGGTACGTCGAATCTTTAAAATACATGTTCTAAAATACTGTTGCCAAAGCGCTATGTGTTGAAGTCAACGAAAGTAGTTTTCCTCGCAATCGATTCAATAGATTTCTATTTCCTCTGGGAGGTGTCATTTCCGGCCACACCGACGCCGCGGTCGATTTCATTATGTTGACGACCTTCGATGGTAAATTTTCAGTATTGACACTTTAAAAACAAAACAATGTGAGTGTTGGCTAGTAAATTTACTTGGATTATTTTAATCTTCACGATCAAAAACTGTCATCATATAAACACTCTACCACTCTAAATTTTACATCTAAATTTTATAATCAACTTAAGAAAACTTTCAAAAGGTGTTATCAGACTACCAAACTGTCCTACAATAGCATTTGTTAGTCTCTTCTTTTCGGTATTTCCCCCTCCTTCAGCAACCATTGTTCGCACAAAAAGCTAGTAAATCGTGAATTGAAGTCATAAACATAACGTTATGGAACATTTTCCACATAAAGGAACTATGGGAAAGTAATTGTTGCTTATTGCTGCATTACTTTTATTACTTTACTTTGAAATGGTTCCAGGAATTGATGCACTTTCGTCACTTCGGTTGGAAATTTATAACAGCAATCGTGAGTTTTTGTGTTGAGTGAAGAAAGTGACAAACGGTGGAAACCTTGGAAGCAAAGTTTGGCTCCGAGTTAGCAGTTGTTAACACTACCATGTTCAACAGACTTCAATGTGACAAGTTTAAAGTCAACGTAAGAAACTATTCTAAGTCTTGTCTAAAAAGATAGACACATTTGAAACCAAATGCGCAAGATAGCGCAATACCAAACAATTATCTACAAAATAAAGTAATTTTATGTTTACGATAAATTCACTAAAAGACGTATGCAAATCTTACGGCATATATTAAAGGATTTTGTCTATTCGTCTTGAAATTCACATGGCGCTTTTCCCTCCCAGGTAACTACTATCACTGGTTATTAATTGTACAACACTATTGAAAACCTAATTATGATGA